GAACGGCTCTGCCCACCCACACCCGCCCGCGCTCCCTGGTGCCAGTACTCGGGGGGTTGGATTTTAAAAGGCATAATACGATCGCTAGGAAGGAATAAAGGCTTTTGTTGCACTGCTCATCTCCCACCTCCGGTTTTCTTTCCAAAAAGCATCTCATGAGATACTGCTCTGATTGCACAGCTTTCACTGGAATCAGTTGTACATGAATAAAACTTTACAGTGCTGCTGCTAGTGTGAAATGCAGCATGTCTGCTTGGGAAAAAAATCGGTAAGTACTTGTGTTGGAAAGTACAGCAAATTAAAGTCACTGGAATAGTGGAGTCATCTCCTGGGAGCAACAAATTGACCTTTTTCATTGGGTTGATAACTCCTTTGGCTTCCTGGGCTATTTTCTGAGAGGTTTTCTGTGTAATGCACTGACATATGTACTGGGTTTTGGTCCAGCTGGATCGCTTTGTTTTGCTGTGTTTTTTAAATGATTTTTTTCCCACACCCTATTAAATATAATGAAATTAAGTCCCTATTTTGCCTGGTTTGTTTTTGTAGTAACATTGGTAATTTACATCAAAAGGCAGAATTAACCATCTTAAATAAGACAAGGAGTAATGGGTTCAAACAGAGGAGATATTTGGGTTGAATATAGGGAAGACATTTTTCCTTGTGAGGGTGGTGAGGCATTGGAACAGGTTGCCCAGAGAAGCTGTGGATGCCCCATTCCTTGAAGTGTTCAAGGCCAGGTTGAATGTGGCTCTGAGCAACCTGGTCCAGTGGAAAGTGTCCCTGCCCATGGCAAGGGGGTTGGAGCTGGATGATCTTTAAGTTCCCTTCCAACCCAAACCATTTGATGATTGCATGAAGGCTTTGAAGTATTTCTGAATCCTGTAAAAGACCACTCCACTTTGGAAAGAGCTTTCCTTTTACAATTTCACAATGTGCTATTTCTTTCTTTGACAGTGTCCCGAACACTCCTGCAATAGCCTTATTGCTCCTGAGAAACACATAGCTGCTGGTTTACCTCACTGACCAGCAAATGACGCCACTTCATTTCATTGGCCCTTTCTTCCTGCTCTGTCTGTGGCTGACAGTGTGGATATGCCTAGCTTTTAGGACCAGGTTCTGCTCTGAGTAATCAGAATTAAACTTGTCATGGAAAAAAGGTTACAAAAGTTACAGCTATCCGTTTTTTCTCTTTGCTTTTCTGTATCTGAGGCTGCTGCTGAATGTGTGTTTCTGTGTGCTTCAAATTGTATCATTAGTAGCTCCCACTGAGATACTAAAATAGGGGCAGCATATGTTCAATATCCAGATTCAGTAACTATGGATTGTGGAGAATAATAAAAAAAAATAAAAATCTTTGTTACTATCTAACTGTGTGTGGTGGGTTGACTCTGGCTGGATGCCTGGAGCCCACCAAAGCCAGGGTCAGGTGAGCAGAGGAGAGAAGGTCTGTTGGAAGGCACATGTATTGAGATATAAGGGCAGGGGGAGGTCACTCACCAATTACTGCTACAGGCAAAACAGTCTCCACTTGAGGAAATAATTTTCATTTATTACCAGTCAAATCCAAGTACAGAAATAAAAGCTGAATCTTAAAACCTCCTTCCTCCACCTCTCCTTTGTCCCCAGGCTTAACTTCATTCCCAATTTCTCTCCTCTCTTCTTCTTTCTCCCTGCCAGCTGCTGAGGGGAATGGGGGCTGGGGTCAGTTCACACATTGTCTCTGCTGCTTATTCCTTCTCAGGGAGAGAACTCCTCAAACTCTTTCCCCGTTTCAGCATGGGATCCCTTCCACAGGTGACAGGCCTCAATAAACTTCAGCATGCTCCCCATGAGCTGCAGTTCTTCACAAACTGCTCCAGCGTGGGATCCCTTCCATGGGATGCAGTCATTTAGGTACAGATGGCTCCAGTGTGGGTCCCTTACAGGGTCACAAGTCCTGTCAGCAGACGTGCTCCAGTGTGGGCTCCTCTCTCCATGGGTCTACAAGTGCCAAAAGGCTGATCAAGTGAGGGTTTCCCACAGGGTCACAGCTTCATTTAGGATTCTTCCAGCTCCAGCTGGGGGTTCTCCATGGGCTGCAGGTGAATATTTGCTGCACCATGAACCTCCTTGGGCTGCAGGGCAGCCAACTGCCTCACCACGGGCTGCCCAACAGGGGAAATCTCTGCTTCAGTGCTGAGCACCTCCTTCCCCTTCTTCTTCACCTACCTTGTTTGCACAGCTGCTTCCTTCATGTATTCTCCCTCCTGTCTCTCTGTTGCACAGGTTTTGCCCTCACTTCTTAACTATGTTATCCTAGTGGCACTACCTCCCTCAGTGATGGGCTCAGCCTTGGCCAGCAGCAAATCTCTCTTGGATTCTTCTGGCATTGGTTCTGTCAGACACAGGGGAAGCTTCCAGTGCTTTTCACAGAAGTTACCTCTGTTTTCCTCCCCACTACCAAAAGGTTGTCACACAAATCCAGTAGAGTGTGTAATATTTTTCATTACATATGAATGTTGCACTAGGTTTTGGAAACAAGAGACAAAATGTAAATGCCACAAAAATTCTGGATGAAAAGACCTGGGATTGAAAATATGTATTATTGAAGGTGAAGCATAAGAATGAAACCCAACATGTCTCCACTAGCTTGTCTGTGGGCTAATATGTGTAATTATGTCAGTTGCCAAAATCATGTATTTTTTTCAATTTACTGGAAAATACCATCCTGCAAAAAAAAGTGTTTGAATCACGTATCAACTGAAACACTCTTCCTATTAAATTATCCTTTACCCAGCTAGCACAGATTAACATTTAAGCTTTGAAATAATTCTGCTGTTTTCCTATCTGATGAACTAGACTGTAGATGCTGTGGATATGTTGGACCAAACGGCTGTTTCCAGACTGTTTGGATTGCAGGGATATCTGTAAGGGAAAAGAGTCCTTTGTAGGATGTTCTTGTTCTGTTTAGAAAATTGTGTAACAGGAGGGAAGAATGACAAGTGCCACTTCATGTAACCATGCATGAGGCTTTAGAGATGGCATGCAGGGAAGGCTGAAGCTTCCATCTAACACTTTCTAAGTGATGACTGGTGTAAAATATGTATTAAGTGTAGATTTCTGTGTGTTTGAAATGGTTAGGTTTATGTCTGTGTAAGTTCCAAATGACAATAGAAACATCATGATATTATGGTCATTTTCACGTGTTGAGATTATATCTTGGTCTTGCAGAATTGACCATCATACAAGGACACAGATTTTCCATGGGTCAGATTTCTTGTCAGGCTGAGTGCACAAAAGAAGGTGAAGATAAAAATCATCCAGTATTTGTGAAAGGGAATCATAGACCCTGTTAGTACATTTCTGTGTGTCAGCAAGGACAGCAAACCCTCCTGAGAGTGTAAGTGAATGTGTTAGGACAGAGGAGGGAAGTCGGGGAGCAGATGCTCCTTGCAGTGTGTGTTTCCCATAGCAACCTGGCAAATTTCCCGGCAGAAATTTGCGTGTGAGTTAGTCATGTTTTCGCATCACTTACTCGTGCCTGTATTTTCAAGTATCCCCATGAAAGAGGAAATAGTAGAGACAACTGGGGAGGAGCAGAGCATAGATGATGGAGGTTGGTGGCACAGCCCCTGGCTAAGCTGTACAAATGGGTGGTGAGAGGCCACGCCACCCTCCAAATGACTGAACAGCACTTGGAGCTTGCAGTTTGCACCAATGCCT